CTATCCTTTGGTCATTGTCCTATGTATGTACTTTGGCAGTAGCAGTCATTAAATCAAAAGACTTCCTGTACTGGGAAAAACTGTCAAGGACCTTTCCAGTGTGCTGAAGAGCAACAGTGTCAGCTTAAAGACCAAGATGCACATGATCCAAGCTGTGGTCTTTTTCATTTACTTCCTGTGCATCTGAAAGTTGGACAGTTGAATAGGATGACAGAAGAAAAATTGATGCCTTTGAGTTGTGGTTTTGGAGAAGAGCAATGAACATCCTATGGATGGCCAAATAGCAAACAGATGTCTTAAAGTGGACCCAGGGTGCCCCTTAGAGGAAAAAACTGCTGAAAGTTCATCTCATGTACTTTGGACATGTTGTTAGGAGAGGCTAGTCCTAGGAAAAGACATCATGTTGGAGTATCAAATACAGAAAGGAAGACTCTTAAGATGGACTGACACAATGACTATGACAGTGGGCTTGAACATGAGCAAAGCCGGGGATAGTGCAGGACAGGGCAAGGTTCATAAGGCAACGACAAGACATAGTCAACTCAATGATGCCAGACAACACAAAAAAAGGGAATAAATCCCACTAGAGCATACATGATGTCAAGTGAAATTTTAGTTCTCTACTCTTCCCATTAGAACATTCTACTAAGATTACTGAGGCTTGAGATTATCAGACTAAAGTGCTAATATAGAACTGCTTTACTGTATATCCTGAATTTGCAATTTATCTAGTTCTAAAGTACTAGTGAGGGAATTTTACTAACATAATTGGTATACTCTTTTATTTATAGAACAATATGATGCATTTGTGAAGTTTACACATGATCAGATAATGAGACGATATGGAGAACAGCCTGCTAGTTGTAAGTATTTGATATTTGAAGTCATAAACTGCAAACAAGATAATTTTTCAAGGAAATAAATTACCATTTTTATATAAAGTTACAGTTTTAACAAATCTTTGAGAAAAAAACATGCAGGAAATATGTAGCAAACTTGATTATTTAAGTACCCAGGGTCAGATTTGGTATGTGTTTAAATTTTGTCCGGGTCTTCGCACTAATTGTCTTTTCCTCCCCTTCCATTTAGATGTTTCATGAATCACGTTTTCTTCAGTTGTGGGCTGCCTTGTTCCTTGTTGAGTTGTTGCAAGAGATCTCAATTATGACATGCAACAATGCCAATAAATACCCTCCTGTGAATACAGGTTGTTACAAGCTTTTGTCAGTGGCAACCACTCTTAGGCAACAACTGGTTTTGGAAATTTCGCTGATGTCAGTACCACCTGGATATGGACCTCTGCTACCTGTATTTAATACCAGTGGCCTCATTTGCTGTATCATTACAATTTGGCTTCTTATTAATGATATATTTGAAAAGGATTATAGCTGGTATTCTAGAACATGCCTTTCACTGGTTGTGTAAATAAAACTGTAGAATGACACTTCAGACTGAAGTTAGCGTGTTTTTTTTTTAATAATTATGCACTACAAATAAGCTGTAACCAGTTATTAATAATTTAGAATGTAATACCAGGACAATGTTAAGCAAATAGCCTACAGTGCTTCCTGTGAAATAGTGAAGGAGTAGGGCATTTCTATATTCAGGACTTACTTGGGTTTCAGATTGGGTTTATATGATTTTTTGGGGGGGGGGCTAGTTTTATTTATTCTATCCATTTCTTTAACAAATGTTTATTGTTGCATTTCCCCCTCCCTTCAAGTGTATGATTGTTTTATTGCCTTGTAGTACTGGAATTTAGTTGAAAGAATAAAGCATTTACTTCCAATATGCTTGGTTTTTAATGCACAGATAGATGGGGGTAATAAGTGAATAAATCCAGTGTTTTAAATGTAACCATTTTTTCAGGAATCAAATAAAGCTGATTTTCTGCTAAGACTTAAAAAAAAATCATTCGTTACCTTGAGATCTAAGCGCTGATAAAAGACTCGAGAGCTGGCTCTAAGTTACTGATATATAATTTACTCTTAAATTCTGTAATTGCTTTATAGAGTGTTTAAGAACATAATAGATTACTTTTAATACTGGCTGAATTTTTTTTTTTTTATTATTATTTTGGTGTGCGTGTACCGTTAAATCAGATCTGACTGGTACAGGAGGAGATTGTTCCTCTTTCCCCGGCAGAGCATCTGGTGGATTCGAACCGTGCACCTCTGGGATTGTAGTTGCAGCTCCTTGCCACTAGGCCACCAGAGCTCCCCTACTGGCTGAATTTTTGTCTCTTGAGACGAGTACAATTCAGTTCATTCTTGTGGTGTTTTGTTTTTTTTTTAGTTAAAAGATGTGAAAGTATGACTCCACAAATTTAACTTACTGTGGTTTTGGTTTACTATAAGAAGAAACACATACTTTTGATTTTTGTTGAATTCGAATAGTGTATTTCTACTAAAATGAAATCTTTCATAAATATACTAGCAAATACTCATTTATACTTGATCTAATTATAAGAAGTAAAAATTAATACGTTTCTTTGTAACATTGGTGATTGCATTTCCCCCCAATCTTCCTTTTGTTCATAAGGTTCCAGGTAATTCATATGCCCACTAGTGTTGGAGCATGTGGGTTAGTAATTTAATTTGGTAATCATAAGGTAGATATTCTTAACCTAACTTTATAGGGATTCTTAACCTCAGCCCTATGGTTTGACAATTAGAGTGGATAAATATTTGTGGTGAGGGCCACTTCTGGTCAGTGGTAGTGTGCTTGACAGTGTTCCTTGGTGGGAAAAAACCATGAAGCACTTGGTTGTTAACTGAAAATATAGGGAAATCAACTCATGGAGTTCTGGTGGAAAAGATTGTGACCGTTCAAATATATCAGCAGCTGGTTGGGAGACAGGTGTGCACTCTGCAGCCTATGGAATGAATTGGACAGTGCAAGAGTCACAATTAACCCAGTGACTGGATAAGTGACAGCATGATGGAATAAATGTAATCCATTGTAGAAGGAATCCTTTTACTGCCTGTATGCTCCTGCTTTCAAAATGCCATGGAGCCATTTGCCACACATGAGCTTGCCATGGGATGAAACGTCTCCAGGGCAACAGCAGCAGCTAGCCTCAGTCCTTAAGACACTGGTAGGATCTCCTTAGTTGTGACCAAAAATGGCTCCAAGACACTTTTTTCTGTTGGAAATTTTTATAGTTGGTTTGAAGGCAAGGCATTATAAATGGAAAACCCATGCTGTTCATCTGAATGCAACCACCACGAAGTCTATTCTAGAAGTAGTTTTTACCAAAAATTCCATTATTACCCTATCCAAGTATGCTTAAGTAGTAGGTGACGTTAATTCCAGAAAGAAAAAAAAATGTATATATATGTATCTTTGGTTACAATTACATGTACTCACTAATAAGATCTCAAGGTTGTCTTGTGGACCTAACCATTGCCTTTAAGGTGACACCTTCCCTTGTGTTTCAGTGTCGAACTACAAAGGCTTTTTCATAGTAGATGATCAGGTTTGTCATCTGAAGTGCTTCTGGATGGTAACTGTTAGTATACCCAAGCCCTGGAAAATCTTAATTCCTAGTTACCTTAAATTAGTTTTAACATTTAGTGTGTTGATATCCATTTTACTCTTAGTAAAAGGCAATCTGTTTACTGAAATGTGCTCACTTTGTAGGTAAGAGCACATACTTGGGCTAGAATAAATTTTTTTGAGGAAAACTGTTACTGTAAGAAACATAAGAAGCTTAAAAATATTAAAAAGTCTGTAGTGGCCTAATTGTAAGAATCTGCTGTATAATCCCAGAGGCACATGTTTCTAATCCAGCTGCTCTCCGTGGGAGAAGGATGGTTAGTCTCTTCCCATGAAATTAATTGCCTCTGAAAACCCGCTGGAGGGTCAGCTGTGAGTTGGTTCTGACTCAGCGGGACACAAAAAACAGCAGCAGCAGGAACTGGACATTAATAAAACAAGTAGTTTTAAGTGTTCTAGTATATCAGCACTGCCTGAAGTATATTTGCCAGGAAAGATTGTACGGTTGCTCCCTAGGAAAAATTTAGAAGAACAGGGAGTGTTGAAGTACTTAATATGCTCCCTAGGTGATCCTAGCAGAAAGAGTTTGGAATAGATTGTTTCAGAACTGTCTACCAAAGGTAAAAAGCACAACTTAATCAGGGTTACTTAAATCTATTCTTTGAACCTACTCCTCAGATGGGAATGAGTCTGCTGGTCTATGTGGTATCTAGTTTGTAGTAGTATAAGCACCTTTCTATATTAGTCCACTATTTAAAGATAGTTTCTAAACACTTAGTGATCATGTGTACTATTTGAAAGTTGGAGAAACGACATTGTACATAATTCTGGTACTCTCGTGTTAGCATGCCATGGAATATGGGGGAAACCTGCATTGCTTACAGCCTCATCTAAATAGGAAATCCTTAAAATCATTCTTATATTCTTGCAAGGAGACATTACATGGTTCAAAGTCAAGAAGGGAGTCAGTCAGGGATGTATTCTGTCTCCATACCTTTTCAGTCTATGCAGAACAGATCATCCGAGATGCTGGGCTGTACGAAGAGGAATGTGGCATCAGGATTGGTGGAAGAGTCATCAACAACCTGCGTTATGCAGATGACACAAACCTACTTGCTGAAACTGAGGAGGACCTGAAGCGCTTGCTGCAGAAGGTCAAGGACTGCAGCCTCCTATATGGATTGAAGCTCAACATCAAGAAAACAAAGATTCTCACCACTGGGCCAATTGGCAGCATTAATATTGATGGTGAAGAGATTGAGATAGTTAACAGTTTTAGTTTGCTGGGCTCCACAGTCAACAACACTCTTGGTAACAGCAACCAGGAAATCAAGAGACGAATTGCATTGGGAAAGTCAGCTGTGAGGGACCTCTCAAGAGTACTGAAGAGCAATGACGTCAGGCTGGAGACTAAGGTGTACCTGATCCAGGCTATAGTCTTCGCAGTTATGTGCTGTGCATCAGAGTTGGATAGTGAATAGGGTTGATAGAGAATAGATGCCTTTGAGCTTTGGTGCTGGAGAAGAGTGTTGAATATACCATGGACTGCTAGAACAAACAGGTTTGTCCTGGAGAAGGTGAAGCAGGAATGCTCCTTGTAGTCAAGGATTCTGAAGCTTTGTCTGACATACTTTGGGCATGTTGCAAGGAAGGACTGGTCTTTGGAGAGGGACATCATGTTTGGCAGAGTGGAGGGGCGGCGGAGGAGTGGAAGACCTTCAATGAGATGGATCAAGTCTGTGACTGGAGCGGTGGGAATAAGTGCTAGGTTGGTTGGCACAGGATAGAACAGCGTTTAGAGCTCTTGTACATAGGGTCGCTATGAGTCGCAAATGACTCAAAACAACAATATATTCTTGTCCTAGATTTGACTAATCATTATTGAAAATAACTGCACGGCTAAGGATGCATTTTAGTGGAAGGGAAGGCCTAGAATATTAAAAAGTATTGAGCTAGTTGTAAAGATAAATTATGGAACCTGTTGTCACACAGTAGTGGTTTTCCTGGGCTATAATCATCCACAGGATACACACTCCATACCATCATTCAGAGACCTCCAGGGTTCGTTCTTTAGCATGTACTCCACGGTGCCAAAAGCAATCTATACTTTAAGGTGGCTGTGCTTATTTATCTAAAGGAATCCTTTAACTCCAATGTATGTTCTTGTGCATGACCTTAAAGTCTAGGAAATCTTGATGTGTAAGATAATAACCAATCTGCTTTCACGAATGTTACTCAAAATGTCTTAAAGGTGATGGTTTGGTTTTGTCAAGTGTCCTGCCTCAGGCTAAGTCTTAGAATGGCAGTGGAATACTAACTAAATGGTTTATTGCCTACCAGGACTAGACTGTACACAGGTACACTGAAGCACTCACACCACTGAGCTTAATGAACAGCAGTGCACCTTTTCTTCACCCATTCCTGACTGAAACAAAATTCTTGCAACTAGTTTTACATTCTTTGCTGTCAAGTCTGTTCTGCCTCATGGGTGCAGAGTAGAACTGGGTTTTTGAAATTGTGACCTTTTGGAACTCGACTGATTGCCCATATAGCCTGTCTGCCCCGTGCCTCTAGATGAGACTGCCAACCTTTCAGCTAAGCAATCAAGTTAACCATTTGTGCCATCCAGGAACCTTGTTTTTTTTTTTTTTTTTTGAGTGTTGATTTATTGTGAAGAGATGGGAAGTTAGCAGACATATTTTTTAAAGCACTAACCACCCTCCCCCCCAAAAAAATAATCCCCCACTGTTGACGAAGAGGAGCCAGGTGCTAGTTTCCGACGGGGGGCACATTCTTGTTGTGGAGATACTGTAAGGCTAAGGCAGTCCACTTCATTTCTTGCTCTTTAACAGATTCTGTGGTGCCACCATTGTCTTGTTCAGGTTCTGGAAGTTCATTCTAGACAACCAAACAGGAAGCCCTGTGCCTCGAACCTTTCCTTTTATAACAACACTTGAAAGTCTGCCATTTTAAAAATGTAAGTTAATAGGAATATTTGTTTTCACTGAAATTCTACTAGAGCAATGGCTAGGTTTCTAATGCTTGAAGACATTTTCTAAATCAACCTTGGGTTTACATTCTTGAAATTAAGCCATTTTAAAAGCTATTAAAAAACGTTCAAGAATATACACAATGTCCTGTGTATACCCACAGGATTTGATTCAGGTTTTTATTAAAGTAGGCGAATAGATGTAGTGAAAACTATTCTGTCCCTGTTTTCATCAAAAAGAATTACTTTGCTAAACTTGTGGTTCCTCACCTAAGCTCTTAAAATGTTTTTTGTATTTATAAATCCATATTTTGTTAATTTAGATGAGTATGTGTAGGTTAAAACATAAAAATTTTTAAAAAGGT